AGCCAGCTATAAACTCCACTCTGGCCAGTGAAAAATGGCCCAAACTACACGAAAACTGCCGTAGAAGCATGAAAAAAAATCGATTATTTCCACTATCGATGAAGTTGGGAAATGCAAAGTTAGTCTTGGCCTTCCCACTACCTTGGAGCATATGCATGTAGATTTTGGTGCAAATCCGTTTGAAAATTGCGGCCCGTGCATTCGTTACACATCCTTTTATTTATATATATATATATATATATATATATATATATATATATATATATATATATATATGGCATAACTCAATTAGGAACAATTTAAACACACAGAGAAACCTAACAAACTCTGTTCGCCAATAAACTGGTTGAAAATACGACTGTAATAGCGTCATGTAAAAATAAGGCTAAAAATAATGGAACACGGCCATTGTGTGTTGACCGTGTTTGGAATATATAAAAAACATTCTTATCAAAATAATAATAATAATTTTAATAGCAATAATAAATATCCGGCTACTACTTCCTTTCGAGTACGTCTGTCTGTTAGGGCGATTAGCCAAACCCTATTACAGATATGTGCTCAGTCCTCAGAGCATATGTGTGGTTTACACGGCAACTATTCTGAGCAGATTTTAGTTACAAATTCTTGGATGGGGGAAGGAGTAGTCGGGGGTGATCCTTTTCTTGAACAAGCCAGTGCACTCAAGCCCTCTGTCACGACGACTTGTGACTTCATGCTAGCGCAACCAACGACGACTTCCGAACACTTCCGTCTACCCAAGTCTTGAGTCAACCCGTGCTAGGCTTTTTAAACATTTTCGCTAAGATCTCCGCCCCCGCGCCAGACACACCCCAGGTCGTCAACATCAAGAAGCCACCTTGACGAACATGGTGAGATTCGAGGCCGGGTCTCCTGGCCAGGAAGCGGACATTCGAACCACTCGGTAATAATAATAAGAATATTAGGTTGGTGCAAAAATAATGACGTAATAATGTCGTTTTTTGACGTTAAAAATGCGTTAAAAAACCACATTATTAAGTCATTATTTTTGCACCAACCTAATAATAATAATAATGAGAAGAAGAAGAAGAAGAAGAAAAAGAAGACGACAAAGAAGAAGAAAGGAAGACAAGAATAATCTATAAATTTTGTTTCAGATGTTATAATGTCGTATACAAGTACAATTATAATGTCGTGTACAAGTACATTATAATGTCGTATGCAAATACATTATAATGTCGTATACAAATACATTATGATGTCGTATACAAGTACAATTATAATGTCGTATACAAATACATTATAATGCCGTATATAGATACATTATAATGTCGTGTACAAGTACATTATAATGTCGTATGAAAGTACATTATAATATCGTATGCAAATACATTATAATGTGGTATACAAGTACATTATAATATCGTATACAAGTACATTATAATGTCGTATACAAATACATTATAGTGTCGTATACAAATACATTATAGTGTCGTATATAAATGCATTATAATGCCGTGTATAAGTACATTATAATGTCGTATGCAAGTACATTATAATGTCGTATACAAATACATTATAATGTCGTATACAAGTATACAAGACTAATATTTGGGCAGATTAAGACATTATTTTAAAGTGACCCTAAGCTTTTTACAGAATTTGCAAAATGCAAGAAAATGAAACAATGTCTGACCACTGTCTTGTTCAAAAGCATCTATGCGGCATTGTGGTTGATGAGTTATTTTCCACCCTACAACCACTTTCCCACAGATAAAATGTTGCCAGCATCTCGCTGCTCTATCGCTATTTTCATGGTATGTATTCTGACGAGCTACATTCCTTAGTCCCACCAGCCCTGATCATTGCAACTGGAACCCCCTACACCACATAAACAAGGCTGAATCATAACCAATCCCTTCGTATTCCATTTGTAAGAAAGAAATTCTACTTGCCTATTTACTTCCCAAGATCAGCTGCAATGTGGAACAGACTTTCGTAGAATGTTTTACCAATCACTACAATCTTGATCTCTTTGAGTCTAGAGTTAACCGTTATATTTCCGACATATCCTCTTTCTTTTCGTACGCTTATACAACATCACACAGTAACCCTCTACCTTGACTGGCTCTTAGGTCTTGTATTGGGGGAGCATTGGTATTAGAAAAAATACAAATTAAAAACTGTGTTAGACATTTTGTTGTGGATTCCGGGATGAAATCCGGTACCAATAAATAACAAAAGCCAAGAATGAATATAGGAAAATATTCGCGTAATAATACAAACTGGTAATGCAGGTTAGTAGTTCCAGGAATACGGATTAGTAGCAAAATATCTATCCAGTCTTTGGTATTGAAGTATCGCTGTATGACTTCTTAATGAGTCTACGTGCTCGCTCACTGTGACTCTTGTTCGCTGCGTGCGTGCGGTCGTTCTGTCTGTCTGTCTGTCTGTCTGTCTGTCTGTCTGTCTGTCTGTCTGTCTGTCTGGTACCTTCACCCTCTGTTGCTCGCGTCTCGAGTCTTCACGTAGCAGTAGTATATGTATATACTGGGTGAGTCCATTTGTGTAAAAAGGGGAGAACTCCTCAACACCCCCTCCTTAGATCCCTTTTTGTGGGGTGTTCATATTTTTTTCCTTTTATGATCCATAATCGGAGGCTCTGTAAATTTTCTTTTCCTGCTAGTACTTCTAATTTCTGTCTCTTCTTGTGGTCTTTGAATCTCAAAAGCTTCAAAGATCGCCTCCATCGAATCATTTCAGCGGTTGACGAGCTTGGCTCTTCAACCCGTTTTTTTTTTGTATTTGGTCAATATGTCTTCTGTGTATAGATTTTTCTCCTTGTATTGTATATATCACGTTTCCTAGTCTGCTAATTATTTTTTCCAAAGCTCTCTTTAATTCTTTGTCGACTTTCTCTATGGTAGCAAACGGACCGCTCCGCTTCTTTTTAAATACTGGCTGGACATTTTCTTTTAATTCAATTCTGGCTGCAAACTTGTTACATCGTCCCAACCTACTCAAAACTACCTCGGGAATTGATTATAATTCTTCCCTTAACTTTGTCGCTTCTGATGGTTCGTACTCTATCTCTTTTACAAAAAAGAAGATGATAGGTAAATCCCATACGTCGAACTTTTTGCATCCAGTCTGTTCCCTAGATTTTCTGTATCCTTCATTACGAATATTTTGAGTTTTCTTGTTTTCCCGTGAAATTTTACATTTAGGATTACTTCTCCTTAGAATTTTATACGCTTTCCTGCATCAGAATAAACTATTTTCTGTGTGTGTAACATGGTTGGTCTATTAAGCTTTCTCCATGTTTGTAGGTTAATTATCGTCAGATCTGACCCTGAATCTAGTTGCAATTTTATCTTTTTATTTAAGATGTCACGTTCCACATATTTCCTTATGTTAGTATTGTCTTCGTTATGCATTCTAGTAGCTCTTATTCTACTAGTAGATTTTCTGTTCCTACATTGGGATGCCTTGTCACCCATTTTTCCACACGCAAGACAGTTTTTATATTTAAAACGACAATCCTTATTCCAGTGTAGTCCTCCACATCGATAACATGCAGATGGGGGGGTATATTTGGTTTGATTTTCGTCATTATTTGCCCTATACGTTGTACTTTTTTTATTATTATGGAATTTTTGTTTTCTTTCCGGGGAGGGTGAAAAACGTAAACTTTTGTTTAACTTACGTATATGTGATACTACTGACTCCTCAATATCCTTCGAGTCTTTCTTTATACTCAGACATTTTTGGCAGTCTTCCGATAAATATTGTAGTGTTAATACAGGTCCATTTTGCAGTTTTGAAAGCATTCTTTTGCGCATTTCGCTATCCTTTGCTGAGACTAACCCTAGTACAAAAATAAGACACTTGAAATTGTCCGGGGTTAATTCTGCCAACTTGATGTCGTCGCAATGTTTATTCACGATTGCGGCGACCGTAGAATAGTCCTTATTTTCATCCTTTAGAGGTTAAGACATTTCCACCTTTTGTGAAAAAGTGACGTTTTCGGACTGAAAAGCTCCGTCAGGCATGTAAATGCTTCATCAAACGTATACAAACGTATATTTGTCTTCTTTGGCAATCCACAAATTTTGTGTATTCACCCGTTCCTAATTTCCCGAGTAATAGTCGTAACTTCTTTGCTTCTGTCCAGTTTTGACAATCGATGTTGAAGATGTCTTCATGACGTCTGAAAAAGTCCCCGAAATTTTTATCCTCTTCTAGGGAATATTTGAATGTTTCTATCGTGTTCCAGACTGCGTCTTGGGAAAAAGTCGCCTCTTTTTCAATATTTTGTTGTTGTGTATTACTCGCTACTTTTACAATTACCTCCTGGAGTTGTAATTGTCTTTCTTCATTTTGCATTTGTCTTTCATAATTTTCCTTCTGCGTTTGTAGTAATATTTTTTCCATTCTTTCTTGGAATTGGAATTGCTGTTCATTTTGGCATTTTACAAGTTCTACTAGAATACTTATAAAATCCTCCATGATAAGAGTCTTACGAAAAACTAGATTTTCCGTATTTTAATCCTCGTACCTGTTTGTTACCCATTTGTTGTGGATACTGACAAAACGGCAATTTTCTCTTTTGAGTCTCCAAGAAATGAAAATTCTTGTCGCCCAAGCTGTTATGGTGAGGAATGAGAAATTTTTTCTTTCCATGTAGATCCCTATATTTATTACAACGTTTCGGCCGTTGTACGCTCCAGCCTTCTTCAGGTGGTTGGAATGTCGAACTGAACCATCTATTTCGCTCACTGGGGTAGACTGTTCTAGTTCCACGTGCCATATATATATATATATATATATAAAAGAGATTACCGGAAAATCCTCAGCCCGACCAAGAAGTGATTTTAAAGATTCCAGTTTGATCTTTGCGCTATATTTTAGCAAGTGGCTAACGCCGAAATTTTCTCAGCATCACCTCGTATTTCATCTTGGTGTTACAGGGGCGATGTGTATCAGACAAAAGTCTTTAAGTGTTAATCTAATGCTTACGGCCGCATCCCGATCACCGAAGTTAAGCAACGCCGAGCTTGATCAGTACCTAGATGGGTGACCGCTTGGGAATATAAGGTGCTGTAAGCGTGGATGTTCCGGTGGTCTAACGGAAAAAGTCTTGGAAATGTTAATCAGACAGCTGTTTCCCATTTCCCGTTATAATCACTTACGCGGAAAAACCCTTTAAGAAAGGTATAGATCCAGCCCTTCAACCCCCAGCAATGTGTTGATTATTAAGACTTGTATCATTGAACCATTATATTATTTAAATAACCTGAAAAGGTTCGATAAACTGTAGAAAACGAATCAGTCAATCGATTAAGTTTTAATCGATTACTGTTTTTTAGTCTGAACTTGATTTTTGTTTCCCAGGGGAAGACTGTATTATATAATAGTGTTCAGGTTTTAGTCTCATACGTTTTTTTATACTTGTGATTTGTAATTATGTCTTAATCATTTATAATCATATATATTTTATTCTGGAGCCATCAGTAAATTATAGTGTCAATTACCTATATGAGCAGATAGATAGATTCTCCTATAATAGTAGTAGATTCCCCTATCGTCTGGGTCACCCCCACTAGTCTTTTGAACAAGAGTAGGGGTTTATCCCTTGTTTTCTGTTTAGGATTGGGTTTCTGGTTCCCTCTAAAGTCTTCTCATTCTCTTTCACTCCCAGTAGTTCCTTGCATCTTAGTGGTATTATCACCTTGCTTGGGGTGAATAGAGAAGTAGAGGTTTATCCTTTGTTTCCTGTTTAGGATTGGGTTTCCGCTTCTCTTTAAAGTCTTCTCATTCTCTTTCACTCTCAGTAGTCCCTTGCATCTTAGTGGTATTATCACCTTGCTTGGGGTGAATAGAGGAGTAGAGGTTTATCCCTTGTTTTCTGTTTAGGATTGGGTTTCTGGTTCTCTCTAAAGTCTTCTCATTCTCTTTCACTCTCAGTAGATCCCTGCCTCTTAATGGCATTATCACCTTATTTGGTGTGAATTGATTAAAAAAAGTGTTTAGTTATTAGTCCAGTACAACGAGACTATCTATTGGAGGTTTAAGACATGACTTTCTGGAAAAGAATCTGTGCTTTATGTGGAATTAGAATAAAATGTTGATGCGTGTTGAAATCCTTGCATTATTTAGTATTGTTGAAGTTATTGCTAACATTTTTTTGTCTAGATTTACAAACTCTATATTTCGTTCAATGTCACAAACCAATTGATGAAATTTGAATAAGGTGATTTGTTTTAAAAGATACTTTAACAAAAACCCCATTTTACAGTTTTTATGCACCCTAGTAAAACCAGCTGTACTTTGCACCCTCTTACCTGTTTTAACTTCTCCCTCAAAATTTGGTTTTAATCGGTCCATGTATGGCTATTTTAGAATGTGTGACAAATGGACATCACAGAATTTTATATATAAAGTTATAATCAAACTAATGTCCTCATTTTTTTATTATCACAATGTTTCAGCCATTACCCTCCAGCCTTTTCAGATGTCTATCTAGCTGTTAGAAAATTATGAACTGAACACTTTATTTAATCTATGGGATAGATTGTTCTCATTCTGCTGCTCATGTCTAGAGTATGGCTACTTTAGAGGGCGTGGCAGACGGACTAATGGTTTGGTTTGGTTTCTTTTGCTTTACGGCATATCAACCTCGATTGCCGACAAAATTTTTATCACTGGTAATTTTTTTTTTTTTCAAAATTCTATTGCAGGTCATATTTTTTCTTCAAAATTGTATAGGTTGTAATAATTTTTTACAAAGTATTTCTGGAATTAAAACCTATTTTTACACTTTCATAGTGTTTTGACCCCAGTTTGGGAGTTAACTATTTGCCTATAGTTAAGACCCTAACAGATGCTACCACCCCGTGTCAGAGTGGACCTGGGAACATCAGCAATTAAGAGAGGGTTCCACACTCCTCAAAACCTCCTGATCAGAGGCCTTGCTGTTGGACGTAGTTTATCGTCTGACCCAGGACGCGGATGTAGTTTATCGTCATACGCAGGACGCCGGACTAACGGAAGTCACGGAATTTTATATATAGATGAAAAATGTTTTTTTGCACTTGAACCAAGATTTGTATTTTATTAAAGACCAAGGAATTTGAAATCTGATCAGATAGAATATGAGGAAGAGTAAAAAAATGATGTCATCTTTATTATTGCGATTGTCAGAAGGAATGTTGTTTAGCGTCGCCTATTGTTTGGCTTTTAGAAACGGTTTAGGGTAGGAACATAATTTTCATTGGAGAGCAAACACGAAAGTGAAAGTGAAAGTAAGAACAGAAAAGAATTCAAAATGAAACGAAATGCTACAATCAGTAAAACGTGGAAGTCATCCATTTACGACAACAATTCGATTAGTGATTGACTCGATTTTCGCCCTGGCTTTGATTTAATTGTGTAACACGTGACCGCTTATAGCTGGTGCGTGAGTTCGATCCCCCGCCGGGGTTGATCGATCGGATCATTTAGTAGCAAAGCTTTGATTGTCGGCGTGATGTCTTGATTGCGTTTATAAAACTCCCTTATGGCTAACTGATTACACGAATTCCTTTCTTGTCATCCCTAACGCCACCCTCTGCCATCCTTTTCCGCCACACCCTACCGTCTGATTCTTCTTTCTGCCTATCTTTTTCGAACTCACTCTTTACGATTAAGTCAGACTCTCTCTCTCTCTTTTCGTCTTGTCAGTAGTTTTTGCTCTGATTTAGTTTCTTTTAAAGGGATCTCATTTAGGGTCTCTTGTATTCATCAATTTGAAATCATGTTACTTCTCCCATCTCTTCTTTTTCTTCTTCCTTACTTCGTAACTAATTTCCTTTCTCCTTTTTATTATATTCGTATATATATTTTTATATATATATATATATATATATATATATATATATATATGTATATAATATATATATATATATCTTGGTATAATCCAGGCGAGTCCTATTAACACAACATAGCATTTGAAATATGTTAAAACTGACTCACAAAAGAGCACACAATGTGTATTTTCATTGAACAGAGCAAATATTCTTTACAATTGAAAATAAGATACCTTGAGTTAATGATCATTTTCACCTATGAATTTTAATTTTAAACTTTGCAAGGATTTTTCAAACGGTTTATGGTATCAGTTTGTAATGTACTGTTTATTTGGATACAAGTGGGTATTATTAACGTGGACAAACGCATGAGATCGCATACATACACACACACACACACACACACACACACACATATATATATATATATATATATATATATATATATATCCAAATTCACTCCAAATCCTTAAAAAATACTCCCCTAAACTTTGAGCTTATATATATGGACGAGTTTAATACCAATAAATCGGAATTAACTCGTTTTCATTTTACCAAAGTTATCTCTTGATTGTTTTTTACCGTTTTCGTTAATTTCCGTGAATTCCCGTCGAATTAAACTATGACCGTTTGACCCTCAGGATGTAGGTCAGCTCATCGGTTACCCGCTCCCTCCTCCCCACCCAGGCTTTCCTACCCTCCATAATATGATTCCAGTATCGGTACCTTTTTTCTTCTCCCATACCTCCCAATCAGTTCCCTAATATATATATATATATATATATATATATATATATATATATATATATATATATATATATATATATATATATAAATAAAATGACAATAGGAAAACTGGTAATTGCTGACGCGTTTCGTCCAATGTGGACTTTATCAAAGCAAAATATGAAAATCATATTCTTTATCAAAGTCCACATTGGACTTTGATAAAGTCCACATTGGACGAAACGCGTCAGCAATTACCAGTTTCCCTATTGTCATTTTTATTCATAAATATTGTCTTCTCTACCGATTAAATCGGAGAAATTTTCATATATATATATATATATATATATATATATATATATATATATATATCGTTCTTTCTCCAAACAAACAGTACATTACAAACTGACACTTTTTAACAGTCTGAAAAATCCTGCGATTTAAAATTAAAATTCGTAGGTGAAAATAATCATTTACTAAAGGTATCTTAATTCCTATTGTAAAGTATATATATATATATATATATATATATATATATATATATATATATATATATATATATATACTGACTCTCCCAAAATATTACCAGCAATAAAATTTGCCGGCATTAAATAACACATTGAGGTTAATATGCCGTAAAACAAAAACAAACCATTGTCGTTGATATGGCCAAACCAAACCAAACCAAAACCAAACCACATAGAATAGATTTTTATATATATATATATATATATATATATATATATATATATATATATATATATATATATATTTAAATTTGTTTTCATTAAATATCCCTTTGAGGTTGATATGCCATAAAACAAAACAAAGCAAACGAAACCAAATATATATATATATATATATATATATATATATATATATATATAGTAAAGGTAGAAAATCCGTTGGTACATCCAAGTGCATCCTAGTAATATAAAATATTAAAACTGATCCACAAAAAGAGCTCAAGGAATATATTACTACAGAGGAAATAATTAATAAACAATAAAATCCCAAATCACTCACCACATATGGAGAATATCTCTGGCTATATAACTCTTGCGATTCATATGGATTGATTTTGGATTTTATTGTTTATTAATACACACACACACACACACACACACACACACACATATATATATATATATATATATATATACACAAATGTAATGAGAAAGAAATGAATATAAATTCAAACGTTCATAAAATTGATTTAAAAGAGGACTCAATACCAAGAGTAGAGCAATAGTTATTTACTATAAAGATGTTGCATACAGACAAACAAGTAATCGCTACAAGATAACAATCTTTGTTCACCACCCGATCAGTGCTATGCTTTAAGCATCGATCAGTGCTATGCTTTAAGCATCGATCAGTGCTATGCTTTAAGCATCGAAACAAATATGCATCTTTGTAGTGAATACTTGCTTGTTCTTATGTAACAACTTTTAACATCCATCCATCTATGGTTGCGTTAGCATGAGTGACATCACGACGACGACGATTCCCCCCCACTTCCATATTAACACCA